TATATTTTTTTTTTTTTTTTTTTGCCTTCTGGGCTGTTTTGCATTCTCTTGCAGCCTCCTCCTGGGATCCACAATGGCTGCGCCGGGCTCTGGGGAGGCACGGTCAGCAGCGCCAGCGCTTCAGTGGTGTTTCGAAAACTGCCCCTCTCTTCTTATTTGATGCTTGAACTTAATGAAAGTCCTTCACCGTGTTACCTAGATTCGGATGTCTGGATTAGCCTGTGCCGTGTTGTTCGTGTTGGTTATGTCAAGGAGTTTCTGTGGGGACGGGGGAGGCGGCGGCGGGCGGCGTGCGTTACTTCACAGCGTACCCGATGATGTGAGGCTGAATGGGCATCCAGGGCAGCGCGACGCTTATGTGTTGTAACTTCAGCTCCGAGAAGTTGGCCTGTTCGAGATTCTTCCATATCTCTCTCGTTAGGCAGCATCCAGCAAAGATGAGTTTCCAAGTCGGGTAGAAGATCTGCTGCCAAAAATACATCCAGCTGGAACGATCGGCAGCCACGTGCTCTACGAAATAGAAAGCACCTCCCTGGGAAAAACAGAGAGAGCTGCAGCAGGTGCTGGGGTTACGCCGAACTTCTCCCTCCATCCCACCTCCTCCCAAATACAGGCCAGTGCCTGCGCAGCTTGCTTGCTCATCGGTATTCTCCCACCCCTTCCCTGCCCGCTTTTTGCTTTTGTGGTGTCAGTTGGAATTAATGTAAGCAGGAAACGTGCGGAGTTTCAAAACGCCTGTTCAAAAAGGATGAAGGATTTACTTAGTTGATCCCTCTTTTATTATAGCAATAGTTTGTTGTCTTTTTGTTTCAATTACAGTTGCTAGCATGTCAATTTTTTGAAGGAAACTAAGACAAATGTATAAATCCTACTCAAACTCATCAGTTTTTGACAACCCAGAGGACTGTCTCGAAAATGCCATTTTAAAGGCTGGAAGTCTATTGCAAAAATACCCCAACAAAACAGCTTTTTTTTAATCTTTAGCTTCATTAGTATACTACAGGCAATGAAGGCATTTAATTAGACTGTTTTAGTCATACAGGTAGATCAGCCCTACTTCTAAGAAGCTAAAGCTGTTAATTTAAAATGCAGACTTTCAGCCTTGATCAGAGAGCTTCCCACCCAAAGAAAATCTGGTGTGTGTTGGGAGAGACACAACACCACAGGAACCGGTTCTGCTTTAAATGATACGCTGTAATTGCTTATAAAATTACTGGCAGTTCCAGTTACCAGACTGTGTTACTTGTAGGGTTTTACTTTTAAGAATAGGGCAGACTGTCCAGCATGTTGCTACTGCTTTGCACCATTTAGCAGTGCAGAGTCGTCGTAAATCTGATTTAACTAGGGAAATAAACTGGGTCTGGTTTGTAAGCTCAAACCCAACTTTTTTTTCCTTTTTTTTCTTTTTTCTTTTTTTTCATTTCTTTTGGTGCAGTGCCTCTGGAATAGATCATAAAGGTAATTACAAAACTTTTTAGTCAGATACTCACTGGTCTGAGCACTCGCAGTACCTCCTTCAGGGTGCCATTCACACTGTGCACAGAGCAGAGGACCAAGGTGCAGATGACAGCATCCACGGAACCGCTGGGCACCTGGTGCAGGTCTTCTCCTGCCGCTACTAGGAAACGCTCGTAGTGGACGTGCTGGTTCTTGTTCATGCTTCTCAAAAGGGCTTGCTGGAAGTTGGTGTTTATGTCCGTGCACGTAACTTTGCAGCCTGGTGGGTAGAACTGGAAGTTAGCACCGCAGCCGGTCCCGAGCTCCAGCAGTTTCAGTTCTCCTGAGGGGCTCGCGAAGTCAGGTAGATTACGAAACAGCTCCTGTTTCTGCTTCTTTGCTTTCCTCTCGTGAACTGCAGAAAGCTTCTCTAAGAAGTAAGGAAAAAATATCTTCTTACAGAAAGGCTCCCATATGCCCAGGAACGATAGCAGGTAGATGGGCATGGCGAGCAGCGCGAGGCAGGCACGGAAGAAGAGGACGCTGGCCTCTGTCATTTCGAGTGTGGGGCAGAGGATCTGTACTCAGCAAAACTAGTTCTTCTGTGAATTAGAGCCTTTGAAGTTCAGACCGAGCTGCATTCACGTACTTGCCGTGTTCCTCTTGAAGTATATTCAGCTCCTTGGATTGATCTGCTAGACTTTTCTCTAAAGCTGATTTTAAAGTCCGGTCACAGGCAAGGAAGAGAAAGAGGACTGCGTGCTGAACAGTTGCGGTCCCAGCTCTGGGGGAAGAGGAGCTGCCAGCCCGGTTACGTAACTGGGATAAACTGGGCAGTACAACTTTGTGTGTAACCACTGGCAAAATGTCATGAGATGCCCTAATTTGGCGTTCGGCAGTTTCAGGTTACAGTTGGTATCTCTTAAAGCAACCGTATGTTGTCTTTAGTGAGCTGAAGGAAATTCATCTGAACTCTGGATTTGCTGTTGGCGTTTCGTTAGGAGTTTGATTAATGTTTCATTTAGAACGTGTTTGTTTAAGAGTTAATTTACCACCCCATTGTAAGTAGCTGGATGAGCTAATCAGCTACTTGCTCTGTGCTCTCTCTGCAACAGCAGTTTGCAGTCCTTCCACTTTGTGGACACCTGAAATACTTTGGTATGCGATATGGGCTCCTTTCCAGTGAATGACCTTGCTTCTCTTCATTATCTTTCAGACCTTTGATGGGAACCATGGAACGGAGAGAAAACAATCTATCAACTCAGTAATCACTGCACACAGTATATGACATGGTTTATTAACCTTATCAGCTTGAGTCAACAACTAATGGTCCATTCTATGCTAGATGTGTTCTGTAAAGCTTCAACTTTGCAGTCGGCAGTGCTTTCTTGAAGGACTTGGTAGCAATGTAGATTAGCCACTAGCATTTAGTTGTCCCACTCCAGGTGAGCCTACTATAGGGAAAGGAGGACTTCAGGTCCCTAATAAAGGCAGTTCTGTTGTGAATTGCACTGGAGAATTCTGTTTTCCTATTGAGCGATAGGTAGTCCCGTCGTCCGATGAGTTACCTCCTCCCTCTAGTGGTAATAAAGCAAATAGAAAATCCAGCATACGGCGGCATCGTTACTAGACTGCTTTATTAACGAACTCTGTTGCCATACCTTTGTACCTCCACCTTGTGGCAACTACATTAGAGAAACAAATTTGAACAATGGGAATTACTTGCTGTGTAGACTAGCTGGATGTGTATGGAGCACAAAACAGAGACATTAATGCATTGTTTCTTATAATCTGCACCAGGTTTTAACTCCTTGCTGCTATACTGCAGGAAATGATAGAAAAAGTTAAAGAGTGGTCAAGAGAGCAGCACCTTCTCTTGGTGTCCTAGGGGAGTTTAACTGGGCAACATTGCTAATGCAACTCCTGGCTTTTAAAAGAGACTTCTTTACGGCGCGATCTAATTTGGAGGGAGAGTAGAAAATGAAGAGTTTAAGCAGAGGTGAAACATGTTAGTAGAGCATGACAAAAGGGCTCTAAGGACATGGCTGATCTAGTAACAGCATTTTACAGCGGAGATGAGATTTCTGCCATCTGACTTAACAAATGCCAATTTTCTCCCAGCGTAAAGAGAAGTTCCGTTTTTTGCTTTGTAGGTGGCTGTTTCAGGTTAAACCTGCGCTGATAACATTAGCATCTGATGGCCAGTGAGAACCATGCCTAGTGAACTGGTGCTGTAATGAGCACTTCCCTGAATAAACAAAAGTCCTGTCCGGGAGGACTGTACTGGCACGGGCAAGCAAATGCCTGCTCGTAAGTATATTCATAATGGGAAGAGTGAAATGAAAATGCTCGTACTGATGCCGTATCTATTATGCATGTGTCCTGTATCGGAAACGTTAGAGGTTGGGCATTATTCTCTGCCCTTAGAAAAACGTTAGCCCTCTGTACTTGCTTGCATGTATCTTCTGTTCCCTTTCTTCCCTCTCCCCCTTCTCAGCTCTCTGGTGCTGACTCCTCCTTTATTCTGTATCGGACTGAAACGTGGCGTCTAGCCTTCTGTCCAGTTTGCCTGGTGCCTGTGCAGCAGCTCTATTTCAGAGCTCCATCCAGAAAGCCTATCTAACAAATGGAAGAATGTGATTCCCAGTTTGAATGGGCTGTGGATTCCCAGGAAGTTTTCCGTACTGTTATTCTGCGTAGCCAGCTGCTGTGTATGGGCTGACTGTAAGGGTGAAAAACCTTCTATAAAGCACGAAAGGAGTACTGAAGGGAGGGCCTGTGTCCCGCAGTGCTCACGGTCATTTATTTTACTGCATACCCAATGATATGAGGACTAGTAGGAATCCAGTAAGGTGCGACATGAATGCGCCTCAAATTCAGTTCCGAGAAATTAGTTTTCTCCAGCTCCTTCTCTGTCTCTCTGCTCAAGGAACACCCATCTCCGAAATACTTCCAGACTGGGTCACAGACCTTTTGCCAAAAGTAGGTCCAACTGGAACGATCTGCAGCCACGTGCTCCAAGAAGTAGAAAGCTCCACCCTGGAAAACAGTGCCATAAAAAAAACTTTGAAGGACTTAGGGCTGTTCACCTCTGTACACAGAATTTTATCTTTTGTATATTGGTAACCATGCTGCCTTTTATCACCTCGCTGAAAACCACCCTCCTTTCCTAGATGTTATGCATGCTAGAGTCATGTTTGGTTTGAACTGTGAAGTCCCTAAAAGTGTCTCCCATTCCATTTTCGTTGAAGATAGTGGTTATTGCTGCTCGACTACACGTTTACGGATAGGTGCAACTTAGGGTTGTGCAAGAGGCAGTACGGTCTGATGGCAGGAACTGCTGCCACCGGGGTTTTGTCTCTGCCTTGGATGATCTCGGACAAACCGCTTTAACTTCCTTGTGTTTCAGTTTTTCTCATCTGAGAAATGTGAACAAACAATTTGCTTACCCTGCATACCAGCAAGGAAAAGAGTTTATTTTATGTTTATAAACATGTGAAAGAGCTTTTGCAAGCAGAAATCTAGTGCCCCAAGCTACGGTCAGTGTATTAGTTTTGTCATTGTCAGTCTTGTGAATCCTACCAATGTTTAATTGTGTCTTTGACCATGTCTGGTCAATGTTTTTGTGTTTATAAATAACAGATAAAAAGCAAATCTGCTATTGTAAGCAAACCTTTCCTGTAAAATTTGTTCAGTGGAGCCAAACAGAGAAGTCAGGGGTTCAGAGCTGATATTTCCTTCCTCTTCTTAGTGGAGCGTGCTCGGTATGACCTTATTCCCTCTTCCCTAGTTTTTCTTTGTAGGAGTGCACAAGATTGCCTTCAGGAATTAATTAGGTTTTCAGGCACATGCAGGGCCAAAGTCTCATTTACACATGGAGGCTCTGGCCAGTTACACAGATTGAGCTCACCTGTGTGGACAGGATTTGTGTTAAGTTTAATTTAAACTCTTCCCCAGTTATTCTAACTGGAGAAAAAAGCCTGGACAAGCAATATGTGAATGTGGCATTTTACAAGTGTCACCTTAGATTAAAATGAAAATACCTGCTTAGGTGGCTAAGTTTTAAAGATAAGAGAGAGAATCGCTAGAGAGTACACATGGCGACTATGAACTGAAATTGTTGGAATAATTTACCCGTTTTACAATGCACATCCCTTCCTGCTTCCCTCCCCTTAGTCCACCCTTGTGCTGCGGTAACTCTCCTTATCCAGTACAGCTCTGCTCCTCCTCCTCCTAGCTCCCAGCACCTCCTGGGTTGTTTTGGGGGGGGGGGTGTGGTTGCATTTTCTTCTTTTTCTTTCTGAAACAGCTTTGCCCTTGGAGTTTTTGCAGGTTGCCCAGCTGCAAGTGCAGGAGCCAGGCTGCTCGGATTGAGTAGCTGTGTCTCTGCCTTGGCCGGGCAATCGGCACCGCCTTGCAGGTACTCCGGACCTTGCGCATGCGTGCGGCACACCAGTCGTGCCGAGGAGGGAGAGGAGAAGCAGGCTGAGCTGGTTCCTTCACCTGCAGGTGAAGCAGCGCAAAAGAAAATTACTTCAGTGGATAAGTGGGTACGATGATTGGTTTTAAACTCTTTCTTGGCCTGGTGCAGGCGATTGCATTTATCCTAAATGTAGGTCAGTACGTACAACTTGGCTTATCACGACACAGATCGGCATCCCAATCTCCCTCGCGCTGCCGCAGCTTACCAGCCTGAGCACTCGCAAAACCTCCGTCAGGACTTTCTTGACGTTGGTCACGGAGCACAGCACTAAGGTGCACACCACCACGTCCACGGTGCCGTCCGGTATTTGATGCAGTTCCTCGCCAGAAGCAACACCAAATGTTCAAGCTTAAGGTGCTGGTTCTCCGAGAGGCTCTTGAGGAGGAACTTTCTGAAATTGGGACTAGGGTCGGTGCACATCAGCTGGCAGCCTGGTGGGTAGAACTGGAAATTGGTGCCGGTGCCCGTGCTGATTTCCAGCAACGTGAGCTGGCCCGAAGGACCTGCAAATTTTCTTAAGTTGCTGAACAGCTCTTGTTTCTGCTTGTAGACCTTACGGTTGTAGATGGGTGCCACCTTGGCCATGATATATGGAAAGACTTTCTTATAGAAGGAGTCCCATAAGCCCAGGCAGGCGAGTACGTGGATGGGCAGGAGGAGCAGCTGGAGGCATCGCTGCAGGCAGGAGGCGAGCAGCATGCTCGGGGGCACGCACACCCTGCCCGCTGCTGCCAGGGCCGGCCCCGACCCGGATGTGTATGTCTGTCCGTCCCGTCTGTCTGGCCGCGCGCCAAGTGCCCTCTTATAGCGGCAGCGCTTGTGGGTGTGCAGAGCCGCTGGGAGTGGGAACACCGGGCCGGGGCGGGGGG